GCCTTTAAACACACAGTTTTATGTGCATATTTGTACACAACCCTTTAAGTAATCAGAGAAACTTGCTGACCAGAATCATTTCCCTGAAAATGATTAAAAAACTGTGTTTCATTTCTTTATCATGGGAAAGAGAAGCAAATGCAACTATTTATTTGGCTGCAGTGTGTAGTACTGCAATTGCTCGGATGCCCTCACAGTTTAAAGTTTGTAGGGATGCAAAAAGTCAGTGAAGTTTAGAAATGAGTTTAATTAACAAGATGGGCCCTTTGAGGAGAGCAAGAAAGCAGGGATACAAATATATCTTCTCCTGCTGTGTTCTAAATACAATCATTCTTGAAGGCCTTTTTCTAATCCAAGTAGAACCCTGGCCAGCTTCTTGTGTTGTAAATGTCAAGACACGAGGCAGTAAGCATTGTCTAGGGGTGACTTTAGGGTTGAGAGAAAACCTTGAAAGCTGTTAGAGAGACCCAATATGTTTGGAAACTGCTGGGATTCAGAGGGCTTTTTTGTAGTGAAAAGGCTGCTGACAAGCGTAGCTGTCCACAGACAGAAAACAGGACTTTTATAGGACTACTGTATGTGCTTATTTACAAAAAAAGCAAAAATAAGTCATTTAAAGTGTGAGAAAAAAAATATGATAAAAATAAACTGCCCCACTAAAGTTCATATTGCTTTGTGTAAAACAGTTTGTTATAGACACGTCTGCAGCATTCATCTAAACATGAGTTGTCTGACCAATATAGCGCATATTTGCACAGTAATAGAGAGTTTCAAACCAGTGTAAGTGAAGCCTGTTTTTTATGTTGTACCATTCTTCTGCACTGACAAAGCTTTGGGGAATGTTTATTATCCACCAAGGCGAGCCAAGAGACAATGAAAACACTACAGTTAGTCAAAGGCTGTGTTATTTCTTCAGAATAACTCTGAGGAATGAAAACGGCTCATCCATAAATTTCTCAGTAACAGTAAACACCAACAGATAAAGTGAAGAACTGTTCCAAAAATAAATCTTCAGCAAGCTGCTCTTTCCTGATTTAGAAGTGATAGGTGAGAAAACTAAACTTCCCAAAGAACAGCTCTACTCTTAAACTGCTCAAGAGTAAACACAAAATATAGATGTGTCTCACTTGGCAGCTCCTAAGCTCAGCCTCAGGAATGCCTTTCTAACAGCTCCATTTTAAAAGCCTGAAGTCAGATATCATCCAAATTAACATCACGTTTGCTGTCAAAGGAAAGAAGTTCTTCTCCTTTTCATACCAAAATCAAGCAAGTGAAAACAATGAGACTAGCCTCATAATGAATTAATATACGATTCCCTAAGCTTAGTCATCTTACAAAATAGGGCAATACACATAAAATCAAAAGTATGCTTTCATTATTACTCACAATGTAATTCCTTTATTATAGATACTCTATGGTGTATTGAATTGCAGTGCTATTAATGTGTAATAACCCAATGAGGTTTATTCAACTGTTATTATACTTGATAATCAGATAATCATTTTATTTTTAAATACTGTGTAAAAAATGACAAACAAGGAGAATTTCTCACATCCTTGCTGGTAATGTTCAACTGGGTTTGTCCAATTTACACTCAGAGCTATGTTCCTGCACTGTTTTCTGAAACACTATGTTAGGCGATCGTTTAAAAAAATTGAAAATCCAAAGTCTCCATGCTATGAAAAACATTTTATCTGCCAATAGTTCTCTTAAAAAAGCCTCTTGTTTATGCATCTATCATATTCTTTATGATAATTAAAAGAAGAAACAGGTGTAAACTTGTGGTAATAGTAAATGTTTTAAATGATAACCCAGTGACAGATGGTATAGTGGCACTTGCAGTACTGGGGTCCTGGGTTCAATTGCTGGGGTGCTATCTGTATGGTTTGCATGTTCTCTCAGGTTTCCTCTGGGTGCTCTGATTTCCTCCCACTGTCCAAAGACATGCTGGTAAGTTAATCGAATTCTATAAAATTGTCCCTGGTGTAAGTGTGCGCATGCGATGAACTGACATTTCCATGCAGAGTGTACCTGCCCTGTGCCCAGTGCATCCTGGGACATGCTCTGTGCCACCATGACCCTGAATTGGATAAGCCGTATTTGAAAATGAAGTGTTGTGATGTAATAACCCACTTTGTGCAAAGTTCATAACATGTTGAGTGCTGCACATTCCCTGAACAGCTCAAGAGACATGCCCTACACACTATATTCTAACCCCCTTTTATTATTCCTCTGATGTGTTGCCTGTCTGAGTTGTGTCTGAGTGAAGCCTGACTCAAAATGGGAGACGGCACCACTCTATGGGTTTCTCACTACTGTGTAGAAAGATTCTTTTGGCTTTCACAGTGGACATTGGGGCCTGAAGTTAGACGCACTCACTTTTATGACCATATCAGCTGGAACAATTCAGGAAAGAAATACAGTTCCAAAATGTTACCCGCCCAGTCTGTTTCCACCATGCCTTAAGATTGCTGCAGTTGTTTTGCAAGGAGATCTTTCACAAGGGTTGAACTCTTCTTTATAAGAGTTCCCTCAAAACTAATCCTGTGAGATAATTGATTACACTTTTAAAAATGATTTTACATTGCTTATCAGTCCAATACCAGAATAATTCAGTTTAAAAAGATTGCCTTCCATTGAAGATGCTGTTTAAAATGGTGTTTCTATTGCAAAACTTCAGGCATATGAAATCTAACACTAGCACAGATGAAGTGTCTTTCACCAAAAAAAGCAAGTCAAATTCTGGTGCTTCACATAGCCCCTCTAACTTTTTAATGGACCCCTGGAAATGCTGAGTGAGTTACAGAGGTGGCACCACAGCCCTCTGATATTTAGGAACAAGTACATTGTTATTCTATGCTGAAAAGAGAAGAAAAGAAACACAACATTTTGGCTGTGAAGCCTTCTTTAGGTGTGACACCTGAAGAAGGCTTCACAGCCAAAACGTTGTGTTTCTTTTCTTCTCTTTTCAGCATGGAATAAACCTTTACTTGTTCCTTTGCAGCCTACGCATGCTGACGCAGCTGCCTACGTGAACTACTGTACATCAGCCCTCTGATATTTAGACAGTGTAAACCTCTGTTGCATTAGAGGACAAGTGGTTTGGTGCTGACAAGTTATCTGGAGTCAAACAGTGGTGATCTGCATGCTTGGAGCTCACAGGTAACCAGGATCAAACAGAGCTGGGCTCTTCCTTTCGATTAGCTCTGGAAGACGTTTGCCCTTGTACACATGGACGTGGCCCTTATTAACCTCAATATGTTTCACATCCAGTTCAAAGTAGATGTAGGAAATGAGGCTTAGGGAGAGTATGGCCTCAGAGATGAAGAGTTTGAATGAAAACCACAGGGAACTGGAATACAAAAAGTCTGATATGGTTAGTTCAGTGTGAAGAACAGGGTGACGTTTTGTTCATGTGACTCCACGTGAGATTTACCTATAACCCCTAAACCCTCTATCACTTCATTTATGCCATGAAAAAAACAACCACAAACGCTTCATCTACAGCATTTTGTGACTGGATTTCCCCCCTTCTTTTATGTAGCTGTTTATTGACAGTCCAGTGGAAACAGATGTTTTTTTTTCTCTCTCTCTCGCCTTGTCAGTGTTTGCTGTCACACAGACCTTGATGCTTTCCCCCTCTCCCTACACACGCCCGCCGGCTCTGTTGCTAGGCGGCGATTTAAAGGAATCGAGCTCTGCGCCGGTTGGACCGTAGCGCACCAACCCGGAGTGGAGCTTTGTCTGGTGCCTTTAGAGCCCACTGCCTCGCCGGATCCAAGCGGGTCACTGAAAGCCGGTTACAGACGCGTCCAAGCAATACCATCATTTTATCTGTAAACTGCGATGTACTGTAGAGTCTCACCAAGAACCAAGACGCATGAGGGCGTGTAAATTGCTAGTCTGCTTAGCACAAACAGAAGCTGTTTCTAATCAACACATACACTACATAAACCTCAACCAAGCATAACCATTACTGTCCAATAATAATAAAAAAATCTGACACACTAATCTTGATAAAGAGCTGACAACCAAAAATGCAACCACAGTCTCATAAAATCACATGTCGCCTTGCACGCAAGTCAACAATAAGAAAGGAAGGAAAGAAATGCAGGGGGAACCGAGGAAAAAAGGGACAGTGGTGGCATTTGCAATCTGCCCAGTAACCCTCCAGTCCCTGCCCCTGTGTGTGCTGATTTCACCGTGGACACGTATGAATAATTCACACAGCACCGCGGCCCTAATCCCGCTTTTGTTGCGCTCCCGCATAGCTATGGACTCCAGCTGCACCGAGCGCACCTTCCACCGCCTGCTGCGAGTCCCCCCGCTTCGCTCCGTAACGCCTACCTCTGCTGCGATGCACAGAGTGGACAGGTGGGGTAAGGACTTTAAACTGGAGCCGCAAGTGTCACCCCTCTCGAAAAAAATAATAATTATAAAAATGCTATGTTTTTTTTTTACTTTAACATATTTTGTGAAATGATGGTCTTCGAAAATAGTATTTTTGTGGGTCTTGGCTCACACAATATGTATTACATGCTAAAAGAACCCTTTCTGGAGTTACACTTTCCTTTTGCTTTGAAAAATGTCTAAATGCGAGTATACATTGGACCCGTTAAGGAAGACACTGGGAGGAGGAGAATTGTTTATTATTAATGTTGTTGTTGTTATTATTATTATTATTATTATTATTTTGTTATTGTTATTATTATCATCATCGTAAAGTCCACTTCAAAACAGGAGACAAAACAAAAGATAACATCCCGAGTTAATCTCTAAATCCCTATATGGCGTTTAACCTACATTCCGACAGCATGTCCCGGCGCTACACGGTCTTCAGCGCGTAAGCTCTGTGATACGGCACTAGTGGAGAGAGGAGCCGAGGAGCGGGCAGAAGAGGGCTCCTGCACATGACAGGAGGCTCTTTCCCTCCGAGTGCGGTGTGGGGGTCTGTGACCCTGTTTACGAGTGGATGTTAAATGAATAAACCGGCGTCTTACCATGTGCGCACAAGGGAACCAAGTGCAGAATGATAAAGCCGGACCACAGCACAAATCTCCAGCACCCACTGCAAAGCCGTGTCTGACAGCCTTCCATTCTTGCGTCCTCAGCTGTGTAAAAAAAGAAAAGAAAAAAAAGGCCTTCCCCCTTCTATAGACAATGTAAAATTTCTTGTCGAATTATTCCAATTGGTATATCCTTTTGCGTTTTCCTACGTTATAAATGTCCTCGGCGGTCCCCCATGGTTAATCCACTGGCTGGGAGAGGTGTTCGTTGTCTTTTAGTGTTTTCAGTATCTATTCACTAAACCCGGCTTCGTTACGGTTCCATCGTATAACAGTTGTGTACACTATTTTACAGACGCCCACTCTGGTCCGGAGTCCAGAACAGTAAGAGAGGGAGTCAGCAGTGCCGCTACATCAACCACTACCAAGCGACATCAACTGCTTCCTCGGCCCCCTGATGGGATCTGCTCAGAAAATGATCATTCTCTCTCCCCCCCTCTTTTTCTTCTCTTCTCTCCTCCCACCTTTTTTTTTAAATAAACTGCTATTCAATTGACTCAATTGGATATCGTCCTGGTGCGCAGGCTTCACGGTCCCTCACTCGATCGCTTTTTGACCGCCGCCCTGGGAGAGACAGTAATGCAATAATCGGTTTATAATCTTCGGCGGCTGCGGCGTGGCGGTGTGTGTGCTGGGTGGTTAAAGGTGGACTAGAGCGTCGCTATTTATGTGATCGGGTGTAAGCATGGGGGTTTGTTCAAAAATACAGTAAACTGAAGCAGAATGTTCATAAAATATTATGAGAGATCACTTTTTAAACTTGTTTTTAGCCCTCTCCCACCATAAAAAACAGTACTAGTCTCGATTCCTCATCGTCTACGATACCTACTCCCCCGTCCTCTACGTTTTTGATTAAACAATTAAGCAGAGAGGGGCAAACATGTGGTAAGGCTTTTTATTGTTAACACTATTAAAAAGGAAAAAAATGCCATAAAAAATCTAAAATGTGGGGTTGGGGAAACTCCGGTGATAAATTGTATTTTTCATACGGAAGGTTAAGGGGTGCGGAAAGGGGCGACTTGGCTAAGACCTGAAACTGACAGAATTTCGAATAGAAAAAGAAGGGTTACTGCGAGATGATCAGCGTTGCGAGCGGCTCTGAAAGGGTCCCCTGAGAGGTGATGAATTGCAGCGGAGCCCGGGAGCTGGGCAGCTTGGGCACCGTTCGCATCCCCACCGTACTCCGGCACAGAGAGGCTGGAGGAATGCGCGCCGAACAAGTGTCTGGGCAGCGCAGGACTGCGAGGTTAGCAGCAGCAGTGCCCACAGAGAAGCCTGAGAATGAGAGGCAATTCCTCCAGTCTCGGCAGAACATCCCCATCACAAAGGGACACCAGTTTGATGGTACAACCGGGACACTGCAAGGTAAATATATTTTAAGAAAAAAAAAGTCTTTCATTAGAATCTAATGTTATTTATCAGCCCCCACCCTTTTCTTTTGTTTCTTTAACAGACAGATATATTCATATTCTAAAATGACATCGCACATCCATCTACAGGTGGTAGGAAATTCCTGCAGTTGTTAACGAAGCACATTACCATGGATGCAGTTAACATCTGCTGCTTGTAAACCTACAAGGAGCGCTGCAAATAGAAGCTATTTATATTTTAATTAAGTGTGGCTGGCGGCGGGCGAATTGGGCAGATAATTCTGTGGACTCCCGGCGGCAGTAAAGCAAATCTGGGCCAGTCTATTACAGGGCGATGGAACAGGTGTATATCAGAAAGTAGCCAGAAATTGATTTAAGCACACGTACTGATCGTTCTGAAATTGAAAAAAAAATACAAACTCGCGGGAGAGTGTTAAACGGACAGAAAGAAAAAAAAGAGTGATCGGTGTTCCGTGAGGATGTGAAGTAGAAAGCAGTGAGGTTGGAGGCAAGCGGCGCTACACAAGATGTCACTGCAGGGCATGGATCTACACATTAATGGCGGCCCTTTCAAGAAAGCACCTGTATGCTTGAAGTTGATTCCTTTAAACAGAACCTTAAAATAATGACTCTTAAACTTAAGCGCGGTGCGGTGGCTCTCTGGCTGGAAGGTTGCCGGTTGGTATCTCGTCGCCGGCAGAGGAATACTACTCTGTTGGGTCCCTGAGCAAGGCCCTTAGCCCCAACTGCTCCAGGGGTGCTGTATAAATGGCCGACCCTGCGCTCTGATCCCAAGCTTCTCTTTCCCTGTCTGTGTGTCTCATGGAGAGCAAGCTGGGGTCTGCGAAAAGACAAATTCCTAATGCAAGAAATTGTAAATGGCCAATAAAGTGATCTTATCAATTTGTTGCTGTGAGACATGGTTTCTGTACTGTATTTTCACAGGCGCTCGTGTTTGATACTGAACAACAGATAGGGGGGTGCTGTCCAGATCGAGCTTGTGTTGAAACGCTACTCTTTATGTCTCCTTTGGGTGTCTGTGTCCATGTTTCTATTTATATGCAGTGGTGAGGGTGACAGAGCTGAGGAGCCACAGGAGCATGGTGGGGGGGCAGTAGTCCTCTTTAGTGGGAGAAGATTGAGCCTCACAGCTGGGATATCCAGACAGTTGGCAGGTGGCCTCCTGATCCCATTCCCTTGCCGAGAAGACAAGGGATTGTTAACTCCGTGTCGGTAGGAGTCAGGAAATGATTTAACACCCCTAGCTATAACAGGCACACAAGTGAAAATGTGAAAATAAAGGGCTTTCCATGCTGCCAGGAAACTCCTCCTGAAAGGTACAGTAATTTATTCTGTTCTACTACTCCAGTTTTAACAGGTTAAAGGCAAGGGTGCTGATTTAATTACAAAAGGAAAATCCAAGCCTTAAATATCTTCTATACATCATATTTTGATTTTTTTGACTCTAATAGAATTGTCAAACATCTTCAGTTAAAAAAGGAACTCTGGTCTCCTGTGTGACTCAACAAGAAAAGGACTTTCCAGGAGCACAGGATTAGGTTTTGTCTCTAGCTGAATGTGACAGGGATTCCCCAAGCAGCAGGACAGAGGTCTACAAGAACGAAGCTTAAGATTAGTCTGCCAGGGTTGTCTGGAATTTCTGACAAACAGCAGCAGCTCAGTGAAAGAAGTACCAGCTCCTCTGATTGGTGCTACCCCACGCCTGTCAGGTCCTTTCAAATGACGTGATTCCACCTGTGAATGTTGGAAAAGTTTGTTTTTGTTCCCTCCCACACAGGTGCAGGATTAGATGCCAAATAGTAAACCAATTTGACATTCCAAATTGCAAAGGCATAGAATATAAAACCAATTTTTTAAATGAAAAGTTCTGTTCAGCATTATACTAAATATATTGGTACAACATCGGTTCAATAAGTAATAAGAAAAATTGTTTACACTTATATAGCACTTTCCTGGACACTCCACTCAAAGCGCTTTACAGGTAATAGGGACGCCCCTCCACCACCACCAATGTGCAGCATCCACCTGGATGATGCGACGGCAGCCATAGTGCACCTGTACACTCACCACACACCAGCTCTCAGTGGGGAGAACAGAGTGATGAAGCCAATTCATAGATGGGGATTGTTAGGAGGCCATGATTGGTAAGGGCCAATGGGAGATAGCCCAGTTACTTATTCAGGACTATGCAGTTCAATCAATGAAAACAGTGGTCTGAGTTGTTTTCAACAAGAACTCCTGTAGAGAGATGGATGTATCTAAAGTGAACTCCTGCTTCAGGCTCTGTATAAAAACCAAAACTTGGAAATCAGTTTGGTGTCTAGGATGGATCTAGTTTCAAAGCAGTTTTGCCATTAATCTTTCACCTACTGTGTGCTGGCTCAAGGATGAAATGATGACAATATGATCTTATTAACTGGCTAAGAAAGGTGGGGTCTGTTGTGCAGACTTTGGAGTGCTGTCATTTTCTAGTCTAGAAATAATATTGCCAGTAAAAATAAGATAGGCCTTTAAAATAAAATGAATTTCCAAACAAATGTCAGTGACACCGTGAAGCGGAATTAGTGTTTTAAAATCAGTAGAGCAGATAAACATGCACAGTGGGCCGCTGAAGTTGTAAATTGGCCCTTGTTCTGTGCTTTACAAGGGGGAGTATGATTTCATACTACTTGGAGACACTTCTCATTTTCTTATGCAAGTGCAGTTCTGCATTTTCTGAAGTCACACAAAGAAGGAAAGCAAATGCAATGAGCAAAGCATCCAGGTTCCAGGTTCAGGACACACACTCCTTGCAATCAGTCATTTTCAGAGCACAGAATCCTCCCGAAATTCCTCACCTGCTGACCTGCACAAATGGACATTAAAGCAATGCCCTGATCATGCAAATGAAAAATGAGAATCAGCTAGGAACTCTTTGAAAATATGCCTCCCGTTACCAGAGAGACAGCGTCTCTGAGTGACAGCCCTGTCTCAGTTGGAGACTGCTGCATTCTGCACAGAAGCTGCGGGTTCTCATCTTCTCACAGATACAATGCTTCTCTCTGCTGTTTTATCCCATTACAGTGTACCATGGCCCGGCAGTCAGTTCTAAGGCTTCTGTGCTTGACTGATGCTATGATGCACAAATAATGCATTGAAGATAAGCTCAATTGGCACAGGTGACAGATGTGTAAGGACTGCAGATAACTGTAATTTATTGTGCAATGACTGTAGATAGGAGTGCATTTGGAGGGATTGCAGAGCAGTTCATCCTGTGAGAGGAGTTTAAGCATTCCCCTTTACTACAGGCAAATTTCTTGATCATTTTTGACATTTACCATGTTCCAACCACTTATTACTAAGATGGAATGAGCTTGACGCTACTTGTACTGTGCTGTAAGACCTCCAGTATGATTTTCCTTAGCAAACGTTCACTGGTGAGCTGAAGCAGGGAGTTAAAAGCGGGTTTAAATGGCTGACTTCACCTGCACCATAACAAGCATTGCAGTTTCCAGCCTTTTCCCAAATGGATGTGGACACCACTCAAATGTGTGGAGTCAGAAAGGATATGAAATTTATGATTGTAACCCACTAGACGTGTGTTGCATGTACTAAAGGTGGCAGAGATTGCCTGCCTACACTCTGCCTGACACCATCTCTGAGAACTCACACTTCCATTGGAACTGCAGCTGTGTGGTATTTATAGGTTCCTCTCTACATCATCAGGTACTTCAGAGCTGGCAAAAATGCAGGTCTTCCAATGAAGCAAATAATGAGTTCAGTTACAGAGTAGAGACACTAAAAGCTCAGAGGGGTGGAGAGGAGACCCAAGACCCAGGTCCTTTGAGAACCAGATATTTACAGACTGGGGATGAAAACTCTGACTGCAGCACAACTATGAATAAAAAAGGTAATGTAAACAGTGGAGAAAAGTATATAAATTCGGGATTAAACAGCTCTTTGTCTACAAAAAAGGACATAGGGAAAATATCAGTCTTGATTGCAGTTTCAAATCACCTGGCAGGTTTAATTCCTGTTTCTTTTAAAAGTTCGCAATTGTTTGTGCAAGAGCAGGCCTGTGTGTTGCTCACTTCCTCCCAGTCATCGCTTTCTAAACATTTGGAAATCAAAGAAAAGTCTGGGGGTGAGAACCCTTATTGAATGTCCCTTTGAAGCAGGGGGGACACCAAGGGGGATAAATACTTTCAGCACAGAGATTCATAGCTACAGCGCCTTCCTTTTGTGCTCCAAGCAAGCAATTTGGAGCCCCCCCCAAAGCCCATTTCCCCCCCCCCCAGCTTGTGTCCAGTCAGGATGGTAATGGGAGAGATTCCTAGTAGTCAACATTTTCTAGC